CGTTGCTGCAAAAGGTTGATTCATAATCATTTGAAGAGCAGGACGAGCAAAATAACGGCTTCCTTCTCGGCCATTAATTGTACACTTACCCGTTCCTTTTTTAACCCAAACACGTGCAACCGCATTTTTACGCTTGCCTGTTGCGTAAGAACGGCCAAACTTATCAATCTGTGGTTTTGGCAGATCTTTAGGATCTTGCAAAACTTCTACGGGTGTCTTTTTAGAAGTTGCTTCTTCAGAAACAGCCCCTGTAACTTTTTTCAAATCTTCAAGACCGGCCATTGTATTCAGCCCCTCTTCATATTTTTAGAATTTAACTTTGCAACATCAAGAACTTGAGGGTTTTGTGCTTCATGCGGATGTTCTGTTCCTGCATAAACCCTTAGATTTTTCAATTGTTGGCGCCCAAGAGGGCCTTTTGGAAGCATGCGTTGAACAGCTTTCATCAAAACACGTTCTGGGTGGTCGCCAGAAAAGATTTTCTCTGCTGTCCGGCTTTTAATACCCCCGGGATATCCTGTATGCCAATAATATGTTTTGTCATCACGTTTTGTGGTGCCTGTTAAGTGCACTTTGTCCGCATTAACCACGATGACATTATCTCCACAATCAACGTGTGGTGTGAATTCAGGCTTATCTTTTCCACGCAAACGATATGCAATAATACTGGCAAGACGCCCAAGAACAAGATCTTGCGCATCGATTAGAAGCCATTTTTTGTTAACCTCAGAAGGCTTTAAAGAATAGGTTTTCATTATTCCAATCACGAAATCCTAAGTGAAATCTGAGGGACTAGTACCCTAATTTTCCCCTGATCGTCAACGAAAAAGCGTCATTTACGCATATTTTTTTTATAAAGGCCTTTAAGCTGCATCTTCATCAGGTTCTATGTCCTGTGATCGAACAGGGAGCAGCATAGAGAACACAGACCCTTTTCCAACGGTACTTTCTACAGTGATTTCTCCACCGAGCATCTCACAAAACCGTTTTGTAATGGAAAGCCCCAGACCTGTTCCACCATATTTTTTTGTGGTTGTTGAGTCAGCTTGTGTAAAAGCATCGAAAACTTTACCCAACTGCTCTTGCTTCATTCCAATCCCTGTATCTGAAACGTTAAAAGAGATCCATTTTTGGTTAGAATCAGCTTTAATATCTAATGTGATATTTCCTTCATGGGTAAATTTTGCTGCATTACTGAGCAAGTTCAAAAGATTTTGACGAATTTTTGTGGAATCTGAATACATTTCAGGGATTTGTAAAGGAGCTTTGAGCAAAAATTTGTTTTTATTTTTTTGAAACAGGGGTTTAGACAGGCTTTTAATACTCTCAAGCAAAGGAAGCACTTCAAAATTTTCTAAGTTTAACTTCATTTTACCGGATTCATTTTAGAAATATCCAAAACGTCATTAATCAACTCTAAAAGGTGTTTTGCAGAAGATAGGATCTTTTCTAGATCTGTTGAAAGCTCATCAGGTGTGAATTCTTCAACTTCTTCAATCAACATCTCGCTATACCCAATGATCGCATTTAAAGGAGTTCTTAATTCGTGACTCATGCTTGCTAAGAACTGACTTTTTGTTTTGTTGGCACTTTCAGCTATTCTCTTGACTTCTTCCAAGTTTTCATTTACGGCCTGAAGTTCTAGAGATCTATTTTCTAAAGAGCGATATGTTTTAAGGAGCTCCTTGGTAGTTCTATTGAAGACAGTGGCAACAACGCCAAATTCGTCAAAACGCCGTATTGGGATTTCTTGGGTGAAATCGCCAACTTCCATGCTTTGAACAACTTTTTCCATGTCAGATAAAGGACCAAGTGCTAGCCATTGTAGTAAGAAATAGGCTCCACCAAGAGTGGCAGATAAAATAATTGCTGTGACAAGAAGGATGTAAAGCATTTCTTCTTTTTGATGCTTAATCATTTCGTCTTTAGAAAATTCCATTTCTAAAGTGCCGATCGTATCTCCGATTTCATGTTTCACTGGGGTAGACAGGCGTTTTGCATGAAGCGGCTTTCCTTTTCCTGAAAGCTCATAACCTTTATGTTCAAGAACAATCGACCCTGATGGATCTAAAATACAAGAATAGCGCACACCCGCTTCTTTTTCAAAAGACTGCAACAACTTTTCCATCGCAGCGGTATCCATGTTCCACAAAGGTATAGAGAGCGCATCAGCACTCATCTGTGAGACGAGACGAGCATTTTTATCAAAGCTATCATAGTCACGATCGTAGTCATTTTTCAGAAACCATCCAAAAGACCCGAGAACAAGAACCGTAATGATTGTTCCCAAAGAAAAAAAGAGGCGCGTTTGAACACTGTTCCAGAATTTTATTCTTTGCCCCATAAAGTTATGATTCCCTTCACCCTGTATCATCCAATTGTAGCGATAACTTTGTCATTCTTCAATCTTTGTCAATTGTTCCTAATCTTCTTGGAAAAATGAAAAGCTGTGGTATTTTCAAAAAGAATAAAATTCTATTTTAGGAGGCCAACTTGAGCCAAAAGACTTACATCATTGTTTTAGGGAACGAAAAAGGGGGAACAGGGAAATCT